AAAAAAAAAAAAAAGTATTCTTTTGTTCTAGAAACAGTTTTTGGAAAAAATTATTGTTCCGTTTCTTGGAATATTAAATTTTCATTTCAACCTCTCTGGAACCTAGCATTTCATCATTCAAACAACACAGTATGAAGATGGAATCTCCACAATGACCACAAACAATTTTTCCATAGAGCAACAAATACAGTTACGAAGCTTCATACATAAAAAAAATTAAAGAAAGGGTTAAACAAACACAAACAATAACGTGTTTGGTTTTAGTAAGACCTCTCGAAGCATTTAAAATTTCAACAGCAATTCCTAAAATAATGCAAGCAATTCTTTCCCACTATGGTATGTCTGTCTATCGAGTCTAAAAAAAAGTCCAAAAACATGATTCATTAAACTCGTTGAGACGGCAACAAACACCAAGTTACGTTTTAATATGGCCTATTACTTGAGGCTTCATCTGACAATTGACTTTGCCGCTCCAATTGCAAGCTTTATGTCATCTCTAACTCCAACCATCACTCTTAAAATCATGAAACAATAAATATTATTTTTTTAAACAATTTCTAGTTTGTTGAAATCACAATATTTAAAATACAAGAAAGAATAATACACTGTTTGTTGTTTAAGAAACAATTCAAGAAACTGTTTCTTGAACTGAAACAATTTCTTGAACAAGAAACAGATTTCTTGTCAATAAACAAGTTGCTTGAAAAAATTCTTGACAAGAAAACAGAAAATGTTTTCTTGTTCAAGAAACAGGTTTCTTGAACAAAGAAACCTGTTTCTTGAACAAGAAAACATGTTTCTTGTCAAGAAACCTGTTTATTAAACAAGAAACTTGTTTTCTTGTTCAAGAAAATAAATTTCTTGTCAAGAAAACATGTTTCTTGTTCAAGATTGTTGGGCTTTCTTGAACAATAAACTGTTTCTTGAATATTTGTGTTCAAGAATGAATCAAGAAACAAGAAACGGTTCAAGAAACTCTTTATTCAACAAGAAAACGAAAGTTTTTCACATAAACTACAAAACACTTTTTTGAGCAAAAAACATAAACTCATTAGTTTCTTGAGCAAAAGAACTGAAGTTTTTTCACATAAACAATAAAACTCTTTCTTGAGCAAAACACATCATACCTCATTAGTAGATGTCATCTCCGTCGTGTTCCAAGAATTAGCGCCACAAAGAGGTAAGAGGTTTGTTTGAAAATCTGTTTTCAAATCTACGTAGACCATACAAAAATGGTCGAGTGAGGAAAATGGTCATATTGTCATGAGCCAGCATGTCACTGCAATTGAATTTCTAAAATCAGTATCAGCTAACAAGGGATTGAATACGATGTTGCGATGTCCTCAAGGAGATCGTCAAGGCTTTGCGAATAGAACAAGTCTAACAAAATACTTTATTGAAACAAGGGACTTTCTACAGTCAAGTACCCTTTGTACCTACTTAACATCAGGTACTTCTTGATATCACCATTAGATTGACTCAAAAATCAATATCAACCATTAGATTCAAGGTACAAGATGGTACAAACAAACAAAGAATGTTGGTCACCTTGTACTTGGTCTCGTACTCCTCGTACTTGCAAAAACCTATAATACCCTTATTCATTAAAAACTAAAAATTTAAATTAATAACTTATAAAATAATAATTATATTTATTTTGAAGGCCTTACATTTATATTATTTGTATAACAATCCTTTTAAGTACAAAAATCATCACAACCTTAATTTAATTTACAAATTAATATTCCAAAAATCAAAATCAACATCTCCTCCTTCCTCCTAACCCTCTGACGGGCCCAATCCCAAATCCTTTCCACACCCGTCAC